TTTTTTTTTTTTTTACTCTTCTTTCACCGACCGTGAGTCTCACGATGCGACTTTTTCTGGTGTTTGCGAGCTGTCGGGAACAAACCGGGCTGTTAAAAATGTTACAGGGTCGTTAAATTTATTGGAACGTGACTACCGGAGATGAACTTTCTCCGTAATGATTGCGGAGCTCCGGTGAATGATTGACAGTAGAGGCTCGCCTGGCGCTCTGTGGACCTTTATGGACAAACTGGATTTACTGCCAGGAGTTCAGCTCCTTTGGTTTCAATCATTGAAGGCTGAAGGCAGAGGCTGAAAGGTGCGTTTCCCTTTGGAGCCGGTCTGTCCAGCACAAGAAGTTTCTGTGACTGATCATACATTAGAAGAAGCTACTTTTCCCTCCGTTGCTCTCTTTATTTTCCTTGTTTTAATGACTCTAAATTAATAATTCTAAAATAATTTAATATTTATTGTCTATATGGCATCCACGGTGAGGGACCCGCCGTGCAGCCCGGTGCTCCCGCGGCCCCTCGTGCTGCTGCTGCTGCTGTTCCAGTGTCCAGGTCTCACGTTAGGAGCCTCCAAGGATCTGGTGTGTGAGCCCATAACTGTGCCCATGTGCAGGGGCATCGGCTACAACCTGACCTACATGCCCAATCAGTTCAACCATGACACCCAAGAGGAGGTGGGACTGGAGGTCCACCAGTTCTGGCCCCTGGTCCGGATCCGCTGCTCTCCAGACCTGCTCTTCTTCCTGTGCAGCATGTACACCCCGATCTGCCTGCCGGACTACCGCAAGCCGCTGCCCCCCTGCCGCTCCGTGTGTGAGCGGGCCAAACGAGGCTGCTCCCCTCTGATGAGCCAGTACGGTTTCGAGTGGCCCGAGAGGATGAGCTGCGAACAGCTGCCCCAGCTGGGCGGTGAGATCCTGTGCATGGACCAGAACAGCAGCGAGACCACCACCCTGGCTCCACCCTTCCCCAAGCCCACCCCTAAAGGCCGGACCAGACCCCCCAGCCCACCGCAGTGTGACAGGGAGTGCCGCTGTCGAGAACCCCTGGTCCCCATCAAGAGGGAGTCCCACACTCTGTACAGCCAGGTCCACACCGGCCCCATACCCAACTGCGCCCAGCCCTGCCACCAGCCCTACTTCTCAGCCGACGAACGCGCCTTCACCAGCTTCTGGGTGGGACTGTGGTCGGTGCTGTGTTTCATCTCCACCTTGACGACTGTCGCCACCTTCCTCATTGACATGGAACGCTTCAAGTACCCAGAGAGGCCCATCATCTTCCTGGCTGCTTGCTACCTGTTTGTCTCTTTGGGTTACATCATCCGCCTGGTGGCAGGTCATGAGCGAGTGGCGTGTGGCGCCAGCAACAGTGTTAGTGGTGACCAGCTGTACGTCCTCTACGACACCACTGGCCCCGCTCTCTGCACCCTCGTTTTCTTGTTGGTGTATTTCTTTGGTATGGCCAGCTCCATCTGGTGGGTGGTGCTGTCCTTCACCTGGTTTCTGGCGGCAGGGATGAAGTGGGGCAGCGAGGCCATCGCAGGATACTCTCAGTACTTCCACCTCGCCGCTTGGCTCATCCCCAGCGTTAAGTCCATCATTGTCCTGGCTCTCAGCTCTGTGGATGGGGACCCCGTCGCTGGAATCTGCTACGTTGGGAACCAGAGTCTGGAGAATCTCAGGGGATTCGTACTCGCACCTCTCGTGGTTTACCTCTTCACCGGCTCCCTTTTCTTACTCGCCGGATTTGTTTCACTCTTCCGAATCAGGAGCATCATCAAACAAGGTGGCACCAAGACGGACAAACTGGAGCGGCTGATGATCCGCATTGGGCTCTTCACGGTGCTGTACACCGTCCCCGCGACCATCGTGGTGGCCTGCCTGGTCTATGAGCAGTACTACCGGCCTGGCTGGGAGCGAGCCCTGGCCTGCTCCTGCCCGTCCGAGCGCCAGCGCTCAGGCGTGGGTCCAGACTACGCGATCTTCATGCTCAAGTACTTCATGTGCTTAGTGGTGGGCATCACCTCAGGGGTCTGGATTTGGTCAGGGAAGACCTTGGAATCCTGGAGGAGGTTTGTGGCCCGATGCTGCCCCTGCTGGCTGCAGAAAGCCACTGCGCCACCCTCCATGTACAGTGAGGCCAGTACTGCTTTAACTGGACATACTGGAAGTGGTCTGACATCAGGGATCTACCATAAAGCTGCTCCATCCCATATATGAACTGAGCAGCACAGTGACACGTTTTAAGAGGACTGATGTTCGTACAGTCTGAGTGGTCACCTCAGCTAAAGTATCCAAACACCCAGAATGTGTCTGCAGGACTGCGTGCTTGTGTATCACTGTGCTCTGAATTTCAGCTCTAACAAAAACTAGACGACTGTGACAATATGAAACCATGCATCAAAAGATTCAGAGTGTAAAAAGGGAAAACAAACAAATAACCTGGGTAATGGGAATTTAAACTAAAGAAAATTCAACACAGAATATATATTTAAAAAACTAAAGTCTGACTCCAACAATTGGAACTGCTTGTGTAAGCAGTAGAGCTGAGACAGCTGACCAAAGTTGACATTTACTGAGATCTTCAAACCCCACAGAGTTACATGGATCCAAGATGGAATAACACACACTTCTTCCAATCGGCTTAACCTGAGCACTAAGAAGAAAAATATTTATTTATGTATATATTGTTTATACGTTTCCTGTAAAAAAAAAAAAGAAAAGAAAATTAGGTGTATAGTGTGATATGTTTTAGTTTGTAACCAACCAATGCCACTGCCACAAGCTAAGTGTAAGACACCAGAGAAAACTAATTGTATAAACTTGTACATAAATGTGTTGTGTTGTTTCAAGTCAGTGTTTGAGTGTGATATCTGGTGTGTTTGTTTAGGTCTTCTCAGACATGGAAGTTGTCTGGGAAGCAAACAAAAAGGAATTTGTTCTTTATAATGGATACTGTCATGACCTCTGAGCTCTGTTGTTAGGCTGCATCACAGTTAAAGTCACTACAGTCTGTTTCTGAGTGAACTTGTTCTGTCCATGTTGTAGGAGCTAACAGGCAGTGATCAGGTTAAAGCTGCACAATGAAACTGACCATGGACTTTACCCCCATCTACTGGTTCACAGTGGAACTGCTCACTGATGTTCTTCACATCAGGGGGAAAAATGGACCCCATAACAGATTGACATTAGACCCCAGACCCTTAGCTGAGTAAGACAAAGAGTGATTACAAACAAAGTGGTAACAGTTAAATCCACTATTGGAATAGTTATTCTTTTGTATTCTCGTATTATTGGGGGTTTCTGTTTGGACAGTTCTCCTGTGGATTCCCTGAAACCAACTCAAGGACCCCTAAAAAGGTCCCTGGACCTCACTTTGAGAACCATTGCTCTACTTTTCTAGTTAATTGTTGCCATAGACCCTGAACAGAAAGATGTTAGGGTCATAGACTGATATCGTTTTAAAATAATTAGTCAATTAAACAAAATCGACAAATTTAACCAGTAACAGTTTTGATAATCGACTTAAAGTAAGAATGCTTCTCAAATGTGATAATTTGCTGCTTTCCTCCGTTTTATACACTGTAAGGTGAATGTCTTTGACTTTTGGACTGTTGGGTGGAGAAAATAAGCAATTTGAGGACATTAGCTTAGTGATGGGGATGTCCACTATTTTCTGATATTTTATAAATGATCATAAAATAAATCGGCACATTGATTGATGCTCATTAGTGGCAGCCCCTTATATAGTCAGACATACTATATATTATGTTGTGCAGAACACAAAACAAAATATTGCTTTTGTATGAATTCAAAACACTAAGTTTAATATTTTGGGGTTTTGAACTGTTGGTTGGACAAAATAAGCACTTTGAACATTTTTCATTATTTTAAACAAGCACTTTTGGAGGATGCCGCTTTTCATCCACACAGTTGGCTGTATTTACACTACCTATAAATGAGTTATAGAGAAGAAAGTTATCAGCAGAGAGCTGTGGTCTAATGTGGGTCATCTGTTTTTAGGGGTCCTGACAGCGTAAACTGAGGGTACCTGCTGTCTGTCCATACAGAGGTCACACTTAGTGCACAAATTAACTGTTAACGTAACCTTAAAGACACAAACTACAAAAAGCGGGGAAAAAAATCCCTATATAAGTGCGATTGGGTTGAAACTTTTCTGCTTTCTCCCTCCCTGCTGTGATGGTCTGTGATATTTTCATTCTGTTGTTGACCAATTGTGTTGTTTAGACTACTGTGTGTCCACATGCTAGATGATATCTCTAATTTATTAGGCTGATTTGTGTGAGTGAATGTGATTGTACGAGTGATGATGAACGTGTTGGTAAAAACTGACATTTAGGTTTATTTGTTTAAGTGTAAATCTGCTTTCACATGGACAAAGTTCCTCAAAGGATATAAAAAATATTGTAGATTTTGATTCATATTGTGGAATTAAAACTGAGTTGATCTCGAGTTTGGTGCACGTCTCGTGTGCGTCTGTGTGTTTCTGTATATCTGGCAGAGCGTGGTGTATTTTTACTGTGGTTTGTACAGTTTTAAGATGTGTGTGCTGATGTATGAACTACATTTGAATTTGTGGTCATATTCAACTCGAAGAAAACAATATTTGTCAAATAACATGATTTAAAAGTTGAATATGCAGGGCGAAATTGGCTTCTGTTATAATCTCCACAGTGGAAATTTAACCCTTTTGTGACCTAAATATGACAACAGATCAAAATGTTTGGGAATCAATTACAATGCCAGTACGACTCTTTCATTCTGTGATACTCCATCAGGGCATTAAGAGGAACTTTGTTCTTCAAATCAACAAAGTCTTACTCACTTCATGCGTCATGTGTCGCTGCGCATGTGAGGTCATAATGGTGGTCGAGCGCCATCCTCCATCTTTAAACCGCTGCCTGACAGGCCCTCTCTCTACTGACATTAGCCTCGTAGACCAGAACACAGTGCAACAGTAAGACATTCATTCACACCTATCGTTTACTCTCTGGTATGCAGGTCATTTTGGACACTCATGAACCATCATCACTGACAGGTCAAAGTGTTGCATAATTATAATTTACTAAGTAAATCTGGATTGGAAATATAGTCTACTAGGATGCAAACAGGGGTTAGGGGTTACCTAGGGTTGGGCGGTATAGGTAAAATCCTCTCTCACATATACTGTAACTTTATCACTATGTCAATACATCATGATATTGTCAATAATATATTGTTTTCTTGTAAATAAGAACTGTTTATTAATAAAATAGAGGGGCATATTAAATACCTTCAAAATCATGGTACATAATCAGATTGAAAACTCAAATACTGTCATACAGAAGTCCTGCTTATTGATTTACAGCACTGCCCACAGTGAGCTAATGCAACCAGAGATATTAGGGGAGAGATAACATTTTATAAACAGTGAGGCACAGTCTACAACAGTTGACAAATAAATATTGTTTCACACTCACAGCATATATAACATCATATTACCCAAACCTATTTCAGGCTGTATCAGAATCAAATTCCCCCATGGTTTGTAGACTGCAACGACACTAGAACTTCAGAGTTTCTTAATGCAGTACTGGATTCAGAAATTGTGTTTAACTCACCATATTCCTGCATTAGCTGTATAATAGTAAAGTTACACACAGACGAGCTCTGCAAAAAACAACTGCTTTTTAGCCTTTTAACATTAATGTGATCCTACTTTAAACGTTTACAACTACAGCAGAGGAAGAACTGCTGCAATGTAATGACCAGTCTATGGTTACAACTGCTTCCTAAAAACAAAACTATGATTAAAAAAAATGGAATATAGCAATAATTGGTAAATCCATACTGTAATGGCATTAAATTGAAAACTGAGTAGTCAACCACTGCCTCAGGATGCAAACATATAGCTACATACACATAAATACCTTATATGATTGCACATTCTGATTGGTGAAAAACACACTGTTTGGAAAGGCTAATACTTACAACTCATCCAGGAAATTGTTTAGTCGAGATGGTAGGTGAGCCTGCTCCTTGTTTAATAATCAGTTTGTATTTAGAAAATGGACTGTGTGACTGCCACACTGAATATAATGGCTTTACCTGTGTGAAATAGCACCTCTGCTTCTTTTCCTGAAAGGTCGTGTATGCATTGATATTTTGTGAGGAGGTCTTTATTCCGGGCGAGGTGTCCCACCTCTGCTACAACACACCACTACAAACCTTGCAACTGGGACTGGCTGTAGATTGGCTGTACTGGATAAATCAGCTTTGAGCTAATCAAACGCTCACAAAAACACATATCACCTGAAGGTCACACATCACACATACAACACAATTTGGAATTACCACAACATATCTTCGTTACATGATTAGTGTTTATTTAAAATACTCCATCTGCAAATGTTTGTTTCAGTTAAAAACAAGACAAATTTCACAGCTAGTAGCCTACATAGTAAGCAAAAAGGAGGGGAGTATCCATCAGTCTCTTTTTTCCCCCCTCAATATCTATGTAGTTTGTTGGAAAGCTCTGGTCGGGGTCTTGGACAATCACACGCTTTGTAATGTGCTGACGGGCTCTTTGAGGCGGGGTCAGGATGCTATATTTTGTCATTATGTCGACCTAACTGCTTTATCGAGCCACTCAGTAGCAGTACTGATCCAGAACCTGTAAAACCGCTCCTTTTTGGCCACCTGAAGTGTATCTGAAAAGTAAAACTGACCCCAGGTTGGCACTCCTGATTCCCAGACACTACAACAGCCATCTCCTGCAGAATAGTCCAATACTTTATAATCTGAGACATGCAGTATATGCTCCATCCAAATTCAGATTTTTAGTAAATCCAACACCACTGGAATGAACAGTAAACAAGCCGCTTTTTTTTTTTACACTCTCAAAAGTAACTTTTGGTAATAACTCTAATTTACAAGGAACAGCTTTTGCATTCATGTGATGGGCCTATTAAAGGATATGTCTGCTGATATTCTACATTTTCTTGTCAACAAATCCCATGAAATGACCAAAACCAACAATAAATTGATCAGACTGACAAATATCGATGCAAAGCCTGAAATACCTTATTCCTCTGGGCCACAGAGTGACATTGTTCATACTGTAGTAGCTGTGTACTGCACACTGTTTATTTTTATGTCAGTCCCACACACACCCTCCTGCTGCTGCTACTAGGAACGCCAACTTTTAATTCACTGCTAAACATAGTCCCCAACAAAGGAACCATGTGCTTCTGTTTGAGTTAAAGTTTGATAGAAACTACAGTGGCAGCTTGGAAATTACTGAGCCTTTTTTAATAATTAAACTGTTTGTGGCCCACATTAAATATTTGTCTTCAGTAGGAACCAACAGGTTTGGGGCCGAGAGCTACACACAGGGTATGGAAGTGAGAAAGTACAGAGAGACAGACAAACACATTCTTGGTTTTGGTCTTTTCATGGAATTTGGTGACAGCTATAATACAGAAGTTAGACCAGCTGTATCCTTTAAGGCTGCATGGAATAATTGAAATATTTCTGCAAAAATTAACATTTTTATGAAAACCCAAAGACTACCCCTCAGATTTAACTGCAGTAGAGTAATTCCTACTTAACACTGGAAATAAGGGACAAGTAAGAAATAAATAAGGGATTGGTAAAAACAATAGATGTGTGGTGTTTAGTTTTCGGTGAGTTTTCTGTAAATACCTCAATTTCAAGTTTAATTTGACAATCACGCAACTCTACAGCCGTAATGCAAATGACCATTAGGGCAGGTCATACAGTAGCATTTTCAAGCCTTAATCCTGCCCCATGTGGCTGCGTTGACCCTGTGAGGTGGCTATGTTTGTCCGGGGTTGGCTGTGGGTTAGCTGGGCTTTGGAAATCAGACGGCAGCAGTCTGACCTATGACAGCACAGCGTTGGTGTGTCGTATACCTATCAGGTTGTCTGCGCTGAAGGATCGTCTCATCGCAGCTCGGCTCAGGTCCTTGTACTTGTCCTCACATAGTCTTGAAATGGCCTGGGTGGACAAACGCACAAAGACAAAAAAAAAAAATAAACTTGATCATTGTGTTTTAATTAGAGGTGTTCGATTCCCTCTGCAGAATAATAAAAAAAAAAAGTCAGCTCTTGTTGCAGAAAGCTCAACTGGAAATTCTTGTTTTGTTTCTCTGCTCCTGCAGTTTAGTACATCATTCACTGTGTTTGTATGAGGCCTTAAAACACAGCCTTGCTCAGTTCACCCTGGTCAAACAGCACAAACTGCTTAAAACAGCCAACCAATGGAAACAGTTGCTAAGATCAACAAGTATTTTCTGTTATCCTTTGAAGTAGCCACCATTTTCACCAAGACAGCTTCTAATCTGAGGCCAGAGTGAAGAGTGAAGTCTGCTTGCTGCAGAATGGTGAGGAAATATTTCAGGCACATCATGATGAGACACTGGAAGAACAGAAATTACTAGTGGAGGTCTGAGGAGCTCACCTCTAGTTTCTGGGCGCGCTGGTTGTTGAGAGGCTCCAGAGGGAAGTTGAGGTTGTTGTCATCAGCCAGCTGCCGCAGATCAAAGTAGTACTTGGCATAGACACTGGCTGGCACGTTGATATTGAACTGGAGAAGTTCCAGGAAGTGGCGCTCCATCTCATTCCTGGTCGGTGGAAAGAGACCTGAGGGTTATTCCAGACAGTCAAAACGTCCAAGCAGACTGTTAACTCTACTCTTAACCTTTAGCTGATAGCTTTCTTCTATAGTAAACTATATTGAATGCGGGGCAATAGAGGAACACAGGAGCCATATTTCATCTGCATTTCTGAGCTTTTGCTGTTATTCAAAAAGGACCAGGCTAACCCTAAATGTTGTAAAAAACACTCAATAGAACAACATTCACATATGATCATTTAAAATAATTTCATAATAATCCCAGGAGTCATGCCATGAAGACCTGTGAATGACTTTGATCATCCACACTTACTGAGGGCAAACCTTTAGAAATGGCTTTTCTTCTATTGAAAAGCTGTCATTGTTCATCTGAGCAGCACGGTGATATGACTTTACTGAAGACATGGTCTTATTGCCAATGTATGTCAGTTATTTGCCAGTCTGACAT